AACCGCGTAAGAAAAGGGGAAAAAACGACGTAAAGAAAGAAAAAGGAATCGTATAACCGCGTCAACGTGGCGGCTGCGACCTCTGCGGAGTGTTTCACACCTACTCCGGCGTATCATCCTACCACACGTACGCAACCGACATGTGAACCCGCAGAATTCACTATGTATATATAGAAGAAAAGAGGAAGAAAAGAGGCCGAACGCGTTCGCTCAAGACTGCCAACCTCGAGGTCCCCGACGGTCCCGCTCGGGGAGGAACGCTCCTCTGCGAGTCCGCTCGTGGGGAGGAACGATCGATTCTCAGGAAGCGTCGCAACCCTTACAATCCTCAGCCGGTCTCCCGTAACTCGCTCGCGGGTCGCACGCACGCAGTGCGTGGGTCGCGATGCGCGGCGACGAGGACGTTGGAATTTTGAAGCGCGGCTCGCCCTCGAGAAACCGGCCTTTTAAATACGCGTTTAGAATCCTCTCGATAGGGCGGTAGTTCGAGACGAACGGTGGCAGCTTTCGGGTGCAGGGAAGCTGACACGGGGGACAGGTGGTGCTAAATAAAGACTGGACCGTCGCCAACGCAGCTCCAACATGGCCGGCCGAGAGACGCTCTCTCTCTCTTCCTCTCTCTCTCTCTTTCTCTCGACGTCGCTCTTCGTCGTCTTCTCTCGTCGTTGTCGTCGTCGGCGCCCGCTTACGACGACACGGATTTACCAGCACCGACGGAATCGTCTCTGACGTTCACCACCGTCGGCCGGGCCGGTGTTGGATTTCACTTTTCCACCTACGTTCCGCTAATTCGAGGACTCGTCGTCTACGCCTATGCGTGACGCCGCCGCTGACGACGACGACGCGCAACGCGCGGCCGGGCGATTTGCCGTCGGAAATAAAAAAAATACCCCGGGTGCGCGTGATCGATTCCGTCGGGGAATTCATCGCGGGCTCCTCCCGGGCTCGTCGCCGTTTCGCCGAGAGTCGCCGCGACGTATGGGGTCCACCGCTGAGACGCGAAAAGAAGAAGAGCGGGCCTCTTCGCGCGGTATATATGTTAACCGTCCTTTTCCCTTTTTTCTTTCTCTTTTTCCCTTCTCACGCGATCGCGACTCATTTCCCCGCGGACACGAGGAAAGTCTCGGGACATCCCTCTCTCTCTCTCTCCCCCCTGCGGTTTCTTCGTGCGACGACGCGCGGGAAGAGAGTCTCGGATTTCTTCGTAAGGGAACACCGCCGCTCGATCGCGACTGGGAAAAAAAATGGAACCCCACGAAATTTCCACAATTCGGCGACTATGCTCTTTCCTCATCCGCGAGTAACAACGACGCGAATAACAATCTCGGGGAAGACGCTTCGCGCTTCTTCATCCGGTGGAAAAGCACCGAAGACGCCCCCTACATTGGCTTGGTCATGCTTGCAAACGGTGCGACCGAACCCGGTAACATTCGCGAATAAATTGCGAATATGAAGGGGAAGGAAAAACAACAAAAAAAAAACAAACAGGAAAGGAGGAGGAGAGACAAAATACATCCCGCGACATCCCGCGTTCCCGCGTTGTCTCACGACGACAGAGAGAGCTACGCCACGTGTTATTTGAAAGTCCAAAAATCACCCACGTACAACACCAAAGAAAGAAAGAAAGGAAAAAAAAAGAGAGGGAAACAAAAAGGAAAGAAAAAGAAATACAACACCAATAGCGACACCAAGTGTAGTGTAAGCTCTCCACCACACACACAAGGTTATTAATATTATATAGGTTAGCGGATCCTATTGCAGTCTCGACTGGCATCCGTATTCCACGGAAAGACACTTCGATCGACCTTATCGCATTCCAAGGAGGAACGTATCTAAACCACCCGTCGCTCCTCTAACCCTGAGCCGCGCGCGCGCGATGTGTCAGCCCGCCGGAAATAATTTTGCAAAACCGCTTCTCTTTTTCACCCGCCGCCTCCCGCGCGATTTTCCCCGTCCATCCGCCTTGATTCGGCACCAAGATCGTTTCGACTGATTTCTCTTTTTCTTCTCTCGCTTATCTCTATCGTACAGATACAAGATGAATGATCTGAAAAGAGACGGCGAATCACCGACGACGGATATCGTGTATTTTTTTAAGATCCAATTAATCGAAACTTTCCACAGAGAAAAAAAGTAGTCTTAAGTCAGTGACAGACATTTTTTCCATATACAAGCAAGGATATTATAATATTCTTAGGAGATTTTTAATCTCGAATTGAGTGCGAGAGATACGTCAATACAAATCCCATGAAATCAAGACGAAAAATCTTTGAAGATTGTAATAGTTTTGCTCATATATGAGAGAATATCTATCGTTGATTTATATATATATATAAGACTAATTTTTTCCCGTGTATATCTCTCTTCCTCTTTTTTTCTCCTTTTCTCTCTTTCTCTCTCACTCACTCTCTCCCTCTCTCCTCGTTGAGGCGACCAGGCCTACCCAGTGCGTTCTCCGATGAAATTTTCGTGTGGCATTGCGGAATCTGCCGGGCCAAACGAGGTGAAGCCCGATAGGATCGATCGTCGTGCGATAAAAAATTAATGCGCGCCGTCCGTGTCTCGGTGCCGGTCGATTTCCGGCACGGAAGAGAGAGAGAGAGAGAGAGAGCCCTCTCGTGTGGATCTCGCGGTCCGCGAAAATCGGCCGTGTTCCTCGTTATTCAACCGAATTCCAGCGCCTCTTCTCATCTCTCTCTCTCTTTCTCTGCTCTCCGCGTATGTTCGGGCTATTTGCTCGTTTCTCGTTTTCTCGCGGAATCGCGAAAGGCGTTTCGCGAAAGACGGATCGAGCGAGCGAAGAGAAGTGTGCGCATGGCCTACGTAGGCCCGAAAGACTAAATATTTACAAGCAATGGATGCCGGACGGTTTGCTCCGCGGATCGGCGAACGGATCAGATACGTTTCTTCCTTGGCTTGCGTTAATTTAACGAAGAGACCTTCCGACCACCCATCCCCGACGATCCCCGTGCAGCTTCTTTCACGGCGATCCCTCCGACGGCGCGGCTCCTCCACGACGATCTCATTCCGGAGAGAATGCAATCGGACCGATTGGACACGTTGCCGTGTCTAATAAAGTATCTAATAAAGTATCTCGTTCCGGCTAACAGACAAAATAACCCAACGGGCGGGAGGAAGTGACGCGATTCGAAAAGCCGCGGCTAAGGCAACGAAAGTCCGCGTCTAAAATTGGGAATTCGTGTTATTCTTGCACCGTTTTTAGCGCAATCTCCCACCACCAAGTGCAAACCAAGACAGCAAATGTAATAAACAGAGTACAATATACAAACGAGTGTGAAAATAAAGTAACGAATCGCCGAAAGATGCGTGATATTCGGGGAGAGGGTGATGAAAAGCGTAGAAAGAGACGCCGTACGTCGGAATTTACTCTTTAACGGTGAGAACACCGTTCGAACAAATGAGCAAAACGATCTCTTTTCTCGTCTTTCTGTCCAATCTGCAACTGTATATTACAAGTGTAATTCGCGTTACTGAGAACTGCGTTATTCGACACGAGAGGCACGATATCGTTATAATATAGACTGCGCCGTACTTTTCGCCCGAAACTTCTCAAATGAGTCAATGAGTAAGAGAGAAGAATTTATTTCGCGAACTCTTTACGTTTCTCCGGCGTCCCGAGATAATGTTCAGAGATGGTGAAATTTTCGGCACGATTTCCGGAACAATTTAACGTCCGACACGTGAAATTTGGAGGATCGTCACACAGCAGTGTGTCGTTTCTTTCGAAGGCTTAACGATTTGCCGGAGCATCTCGACTTTGCTTCGTAAGATCATGTCGCGCGATCAGGCTGTTGAGCGATGGTGCCAAATCGAAGAGGTAACAGCTATCGGTACTGCGATTATTATCACTACGATTATCATTATTAATATTATTAAGAGAAAAGAGTGGTGAAGAGTGAAGATATAAAATAAAAAGAAAAAAAAAAGAAGTAACAGAAGAAACTGAGAAAACCAGTAAACAAACAATCGCAAATCTCTCAGCAACCGCAAGTCATTGTCATCACTTCACGTCAGTTTCACCAAGAAAAAAAGTAACAAAAAACCACAATCAAAGAAAAGTACATTAGGAGAAGAAGAACAGGCTGATCCCCGGAAGATCCTCGCTATGTATACTTCACGGAAAGAAATTCGTAGGTACTCATGGTTTCTGATACGTGTGCGTGTGCCGCTCTCCCTCTCCCTCTCTTTCTCTTTCTCTTTACTTCACTGATCTCTAACACATTCGCTTTTCCTTTTTGCTCTTTCGCTTTCATTGTCATTGTCTCTCTTTCGTACTAATAACGTGGTCCTTAGAACGGCTCTTGGCCCTCTCAAGGATCTCGGAAAGAGGACTCTCTGCTTGTCTCCTTACGCGCGCGCGTCAGGATGCTGAAACGTCATATATATGGTGTCTTAAAAAAAAGGCTCGTTAAATTATCCGACCGTGCTCCGACTCCGTAAAGTGAGTACCTTTTCAGTTTCTTTTCTTTTTTTCTTTTTCCGAACATTGCGTAATGGACTATTAATTTATCATTGCATCCCCAACGTTCCCGGGAAATTGTTGCGCGAAAGTAAAACGAATCGTGGGCTCGCTGCAAGGACGGCTCGACCGACGTTATTCCACCGAGAAGTTTCCGTAACGACGCGAAAGACTCCCGATTCTCGTTTCCTGCCAGCTACGGGGCGCGACAACGATATTCGTGACACTCGAATTCTTAGCCGATCAGCAAGCTTCCGCAAGCTCTAGCGTGAAAGTAACCGTGTATCGTACAATTCAGCTTGCTCACGCACGATAATCTTCGCACGACCGCTCTGGAGAGCGAGGAAACGCGCACGGGAAAGATTTTGTTCTGACTTGCAGCGAGAAAATTCGGTAGCCGGCGGCTACGAACGATCGCGAAGACTCTCCTCGGCTTAGGGGCTACTTTCATCTAACTACAGTTACGACATGTACGTTCTTAATATCCCTCGACAAAGCACATCAATTGTGGGTGACTTACCCGTATTGCCCAGGAAGAACCGCTGGATATCCAGCCCGGATGCCTGCAGCGAACGGGAATGCTGAAATCAAACCGAACGAAACAGACGGTGAGAATTCGAATTCTTAATTGCAATCGTACCGTCTCGCCATTCTAATTTTCATATTACAATTCCGCGAGTGGTTTTTTTCTCATGCTTCCAATACCCCTAGAAATTGTATCTCGATTGCATCGGTCTTCAGTTTTCGGAGTTACAACTTTCCAGCATTATATATTCTATATTTTTTCAACTTCGAGGCGTTTTTTTTCTTTTTCGGGATAATGTATACTGAAACGAGAACGTACGAATTCGTCGGAGACAAAAGTACGAGCGTTAACGTGTATTAATAATGACATGGCAGAGATTGAATAATTCACAGCGCGAGGCAGCGTTGTGTCAGTAGGGAGTTAACGGAACGGGAGTCAAACTGGCTCGTATTTTTAGTCGAAAAAATCCGTGTCATCTTCCAGTAACGGCATGTTTTATTCATTAGCGTGATCAATATAGAACCAGCGTTTCGTTAAATCTCGCCGAATCGATATATACGAAATTATCATCGGGAAAAATAACCAGTTCGAAGCGTACCGGGCGACCGAACCGAAAATTCTCACGATTCATGGCGGGTACGAGAATCCACTTCCCCCGCGCCGATCGCCGAGCAAATACATTGTTGAAAAGACACGCAAATATTTGCGCGTTTTGTCGTTTCCCTCTCGACCCGTCCGAGCGTGTTATCGAAATTGTCTGCCCCTTAACGATCACTTCATAATTGTTATACTCTATACGCTCGCCAGGCCGTCAAATAGGAACGGAGACGCGTGGATAGAAGTGGACACGTAGACACACACGCACACACACACGCGTACACGACGCGTGCACGACCTACGTACTGATGCACCGATGGCATGCTCGCTATCTCAGAGTGCATTACGGTGTGCAATAAACTCGAAATGGCCGTGCAACCGAATATATCACGATAACTCGTCCTTATCGAGAATACGTTTCGCCCTTCACGTCGTACCGTGGCGCGATATGTATGCTCCATACGGCGATATTAAACATCGCTGAAATAGTTATGCCACGGTAAAGTTTCAACTTTTAAAACTCCCGAGCAACTTAACAGTCTGGAAATGCGCGCGCGCATAAAGTTCCGACCTCTTTGTATAAAATAATAAATGCATCGTAAAAAATATATGTATATGCTGCGGCACATATAGATATAATATAAAACAAATATAATCGTTGCGTAAGACACGTGGGCACGTACAGTCCCTGGCCGAATGATTAAAGGCACCTGAATTTTTTACAATTCATTGACTCCCGAGGTCCAGCTTTATAACACGGCTCATCTATCGATCGAATTACGTCGAGGAGCCGTTATTCTATATAAGATATTTTTTATGACATCATTTCATTTGGCTGTTACAATGACCTTGAACAAGTATCAGCCCGCGCTAACCGTATTGTTGATAATAACGAGAACCGACGTGTTTTTGTGTCAATTGAAATTTCGTTTTATTGCTTTGCTTATTTGCGACCTGAAACTTCAAATTCCTCGCTTACTAACGGAAAAACAAATATTTGCGTGAAAAATCTTAATATTCTTTCCGAAAAATATGGGTAAAACAAGTGACTTGACGCCTCGGAAGGTTGCAGAGACGAAAGCGCCGATTGACACCGACAAATTATTCTAATCGAGTAAACATAAAATCAGTAGCTTTTCTTCTTTCCCTAATTTGCATTCTATTAAAACAATCAAAGTGCGTCTAATAATATGGCCATGGACTATATATTAGATTTCTGATTCGTAAGCGCGCGCAGAGAAGCTCTCATCTGATCGACGTTACGTTATCCCCAATATTGCAAGTGTACTGATCCACATCGGCGGCCGAAGTTTCGAAGCTTCGAGCGCTGCTCGACGTTAAACTAGAAACAATCCTCGCGCCGATAAAAAGAAAAGCAAAACAGGTACTCGGGTTAAGGCAATTTTAGACTTTGGATCTCGAAACGCCGAGCTATGTTGGCCCGAAGCCACCGAGAGAGAAAAAGAGAGAGTTACTCAGGGGACAGTTCGGCCGATCCGTCTTTCGTTCTCTCCGTTTCGCGATCACGTTGCATCAAGCTCGAGGTTGAGATCGAGGTTTGATTCGAGTTGTCTAAACTGCTCGTCCCAACACGACGATTATCTCTTATTCGTGTTCTGTTGGACGAAGCCCCGAAAGCACATTTGCAAATTTTGTATCTCGCGTATCCTGGCGTGCAAGAATAGAAAACAGAGATTCGTGTGACACAGTATTTTCCACGCAGCAAGGCCATCGATTAACGTCGAGAATCGATTGTCTTGATTAAATGCTTCGTCAGGATTTCGTCAGACTTGGACGCACGCGGTCAATGAATAATGCGACGGAATTATTGCGTCCAAGATGCGACGCGAGGGACGAGAGCTTCCTGGTGATCTGGCGTAGTGTCAACGGCGTAAAACCCGTGACTGTGACGTGGAAAAATCGCGAGCTCGAGGAGCAAGAAGAGAGGCGCATCGCGGCACGAGATACGATTGCGCGACCCTTCGAGCTCATACAACCGTATTCGGTTCTGATCGCGAACTCGTCGCGTTCCTGACAGGCCGAGAAACGGTTTGAAATTGCACGGCACGAGCACGGCTAAGGGTTAAGCGCGGTCGCAAAATGCCGTCCTGTCAATATCCGCTTTATGAAGAATTCAACGTGAATAATCGATTAAGGCCGCCACTGAATTCGTTGCACGGTCTAAAAATCGGGACATGTTTTATGAACTGGTCTCACCAGCCAGGAGGAATCAATGATGAAAACAGAAGACGAAGGTCGGGATGCGCACACAGGCGAAAAGGTCCCTTTGGATTTAACGCGCTTGTTTAATATAAACGTAATTTAATATCAAATATCATTTTGTCCGAACGGAAATGTCGTTGTATCGTTAGAGTAAGCCATGTTGTTTAATGGGAACATTATTGTTTAGAGGAAGCGATATTTCGTTTTCGAGATAGAAGAGAAATTTATTTGATTATTTATTAAATATCGTTCCATCAGAGCAAAGTTCTTGAATATTTTCCTGGCTTAGTGTTACTTCTTTCAAATCATTTATTGTTTGTGACACACGGTATTGTTGTAATGTTTGGGTAAAAATACAAAAAAAATATATTATTTGACATGAAGATATTTATTGTTTGAGAAATCAAACAATCCTGTTTGTTAAATCAAACATTCGTTTGCTCGCTCCGCTTGTCGAGAGACAAATTTGTTTCAATTAAAGAAATTGTATTAAATCCAGAGAAATCTTTTTCTCCGTGTATATGGCGTTTTTCTTATCAATCAGAATAATGCCTTACATATAATTTAATTTACTATGAAATTTAATGTGCCACGCTTACACGTGCTAATCTGAGTAACGATAGCGTTGATCCGTTATTCAACGATAATTATACACTGAGAAAAAAATTTACTAATAAAACTTTCTTCAATTATAACTGACATTTTTTTTCAATTATAGCAAATCGTTCGTTTGCATACAACAATATATGAACATATTTTTTTCTTAATAATTTTATTTACTTGTTTAACGAAAATTTATTCTTCCGTTAAATCAAATTATTTGACTATATTTCTACTATATTGTTTATTGTCTATATATGTTTCTAAACACTACCGAGACTTTCATTTATATTTTATAATAGAAATAATATCAATACATAATATCAATCAATCAATAAATTAGTAAAATATTTTAAATGTTATTAAAAATATTAAGAAGAAAGATAGAGTAGCGCCTCTAAATATACGTTTCTCGAAATATAATAAATTGTACTGAAAAAATATTTACTATTTTCAACTATACTAATTCTACAATTTAAACAAGCATCTATTAAAACGTCTTTTTCTGATACAAATCTCCAGATTTAGAATTTAATAAATTCATTTACTTTAAGTTTCAATAAATACTAACTGGAATATAGTGCGTCTCAGAATTAGATTGAAGTAAATATTTAAAAAAAAAATTCATATTCTTATTTTTTTATTCTTCAGTTTACTGTAATCAAGTGAAGATATTTAACAATGAAGATTTATATTTAAAACATTACTTACTAAATTACATTTTAGTAAATAGAAATTTGCAGAAATTAAGAAAATATTCTTCTCAGTGTACATATTTTCCAATCGCAACGTTAGGATGTGTGGAAAGTATAAAATATGTGCATAACAAAGAAATGCATAAATCGACGAATTGCTGATAATCTCGTATATGACAAAATGCACTTACTCGTTTGCAAATTACCCCTGGGCTTAGCTCCGAGAATGGCCAAGTTAACGTTTGCTTTTCGGCCGTCGATGATGGGGTTGGGGTCTTTGCATGCTCTCTCCGCTGCGGGTTTGTCTCCCATAATTACCTACATACAAATTGGTCGATTATCCCTCGATTAATCGAAAAAAATGCTCGATGGTATATACGCTTTGCGCGTAAATTAACTGATACAATATGTTTTGATACACCCGATTCGCAATTCGAAATAGATGCGCGGTTACGCGTGTATTGACGAGATTGTTTAATTAGAGACAATTTAACTTCAACTTTAACTTTAGCTTAAACTTTATTTATTTATTATTCGAGATACAAAGATGATCTCTTTTGTTGACGATTTTCCGCAGGTATCACATGTGTTTGTGGCGCGTCTGACAATGCATATCGATCGACACAAAGCACGTTCGGTTGCTTTCCAAATGAGTCAGCTTCTTGTTCCAATAAAGACATTTGGTTAACGTGTGTTTTGATTGTTCAATTTTACGATATTTCAATGTAAGTGGTAAAGGACTCCTTGTGTCTCGATGTTAATCTGCCAAGGAATAATGCGGCCAACGACACACTCATTTCCATATTATCGGCATACGTATAACGCAGGCATAGGCAGTACAAAGAAACAGATATGTAGACTCATGGGAAATACGACGTATATGGAGAGAGAAAAGGGGGTATTATCACAAGCGGAAAGAGACTAAGCTTGCATGTACGCGTGTGTGCGTTAAAACAGGTTGAATTTATTATCGCGAGACTCCCTCTCTCTCTCTTTCTATTAAGTTATCGCCCCCGACTTGTCTAATTAGCTAATTGTAATAACAGCTAATTGTAAAACAACTATCGACTTCAATCAGTTTTTCTCATTGATTCCTCGACAAAATTACTACGATTACGAAACGGACATTTATGGGATAAAATTGGCATATCGAGCCGCGTTAAAAATAATTTTCAAAAATCACGAAAATCATGTATTTGTTTTCAACGAAGACCACAGATATCCGTATTATTTCTGCTATTTATTATATTATATATAGATATTTATTTATATGTATTATTTTTTTTTTAATATTTGCACACAGAGAAAAAAAGATTTCTTAGAATTTAATAAAATAAAATTCTGTCTTTAATTGAAACAAACTTTCCTTTTTGGAGCAGAACGAACAAACGATTATATATATTTCAATCAACAAACAGAATTATTTGGTTTCTCAAATAATAAATAATTTTACGTTAAATAATATATTTCTTTTGTATTGAAAATAAAATATTATTTCCTCTAAACAATCATTTTTCTATTAAATATGATTTATTCTAATGAAACAACAACACTTTCATTCAAACAAAATGATATTTGATGTTAAATTATGTTGATTATATTAAATAAATCTATGTCAAATAAACACATATTAAATCTAAAAAAATTTCTTCCTCTGTATATACAAAGAACGATAAGTTGTCTATTATAAGAATTTTACTTCGTTACTTGGATGATTTAATTGAATAATTTATATCCGATAGCGTCCTGAATCGCGAATACACGTGAGTACACATCAAAATACAGCGAAACGAGTTCATAATTGCGACACTTACGAAGCCATAACCCCTGCTTTTGCCGGTCTGCCTGTCCGTAATTACGACCGCCTCCTCGATGTCTCCGTAAACGTTAAAGTGCTCCCTGAGACTTTTATCAGTTGTATGATAAGGTAGGCCGCCGACGAATAGTTTCGTGAATGTCGTGTCTTTTTGTTGCGGTGTGGTGGCGGCTAAGGCTCCGAGTCCTTGCACGAGGTCGTCGGGTCCTGGGGCCCCTACGGCGCCGACGGCGCCGACGGCACTAAGACCCGCTGTGCTCGGCATCAACATCCTCAAGATTTTGGCGAAGTCACCGCCAGGTGGAATAACGACTTGCTCAATCTTGACACTTTCTTTGGTACCTCGGTCAACGTTAATTTCGCCGCAGGCCGTGCAGCATTTAGTCGCGCAGCGCACCCGTTCCTGCAAAGATAAGTAGAAAGATCCACATTGAAGCGAGTAAAGATTGTATCAAACAGTTCCGTTGCAAAGACGCGGTTCATTGGTTCCAGAAGTGTCATTCACGCAAGGAATACACGATGTGCGGTAAATCTTATAAATATTCTTAGACTTGTACGATATATTCGTCATGATTAACAGTAGTCGCTTTTAAAACCGGTCTCGAGTAAAATAGTCAGATTTAAGTTTAGGGTTAGATGTGAAACTTCCTCGGACGGAATGCCGATATTTCTCAGGGAAGAATTGTGCGTAAACGTAATTGTACGAAGGGGAATATAAAAGATAGCGCGCGTAGCACAACGTATCAAGGAAACCCTGAGGAAACCATTGATGACGTTTGATCCACATTTCTCGAAGCAGCGTGTTTGTTAGAGGAGGATTAATTTGTACGTGCATCGTGTCTCTGTCTAACATAACTGCGTCCAATTAGGAGAGAGCACGTGTGCGGTTTAGAAAGCCTCGATGAAAAGGCTCGATTCTCACCCTTACGAGGGTGAAAGAACCGCTGTACTACGTCATGCAAGGTCGACGCGTACACCATGTGCTGCGCCGGAGTTTCGTGACAATTACATTTTACCCGTGCGAACCGAATCGACGTACGTGTAGTTAGTACGCGCCGTTTCAGTGCATACGTGTCAGCAATGTTACGCTACGAGTTTTAATTTGACGGCGGCGAACGAGGCGCTATCACTTTTCTCCCGAGGAATTTTACTTCGCCGATTTGTAAAAGTGCATGCGCGGCTCGCCTCGCGCTTAGCCTCAGTGAAAGGGGAATCGTAATGGAGTGAAATGGACGCGGAAATCCCCGTATAAAAAGGAGATATTGCAGCTATTTATGCGCAAAGTAGAACCACGGAGAAGGCAATTACCGATACGAAAATCACATTAATTTCGTATCGCGGCGGAACGCAAGTAACGTGTGTGTGGGTGTGTGTAATTTATACGTATCTCATCGAGAAAACGCTTCGAGCGGAAAATCTATTTCCATTTCTTAAAATAACGAAATTTTAGTCATAAACAGACTCGCGAAAATAGATTCTCGTGCACGTGAGTAGTGCGCTATTCAAAATAACCTAACCTACGTGGCGAATCGGACGATGCGCGATAAAGTAATTACGCTCGAAAATATTGAAGTCGTGTTTTATAGAAAAACTAAGAAAAAGTGTGCACGTGCGCGCGCGTGTGTGTGTGTGTGTGTGTATGTGTGTGTGACTTGCATATAATATATTATGTAAAAAAATTCTGAGTAAGCACGGTACAATTGATACATTTTTTCAATATCTTTATTTTTCAAGTCAGATAATCATGTACATAGTTCGAATAAATTTTTCATTCCCGGCAAAAGAAGCAAGAGCTTTTTATTGAAAAAAAAAAATCGGCTTTTTCTCTACACGCTGTGTCGCACACCGTTTTTATATATGTTTATTACACGCCTGTTTTTTATTACATACCTGTGTATTTAGATTTATATCCGAATAATACAAAGCGATCGGTGATCGATTAACAAATCGTATTGAGGAACTCAATATTGTATTTAACATTATAGAAAACACATGAACACAAAGTTTATTCATATTTTCCAGGCAAAGCTTGACTTACTTCGTTAGTCTCAGCAATTTTACCTCTTAGGCGCATCCAAGACAGCACAAATGTCCAGAATCGGGACATAAAGCGTCTCGGATGTGTAATTAAACGGCCTAACGAAGAAAATATGAAGCGCAAAGAATCATCTGAAAATCATATCTGCGATTTCATGATGTAACACGACACACTACATTTGTCCACTTATGTACTTGCGCCCTGCTGTGTCTTGCAATTCGTATGTTGCATAAGAACCAAAATATGATGATAACGTACTGTACTCTAAGATGCTTCCCGTTTACGCTGATACGTAATCCTTTATTTGATAAGTTATTCCTTCTATGATTTGAGCTTCCTCTTTTTTTCCTCTTTTCGTTAGAGTCCGAATTCTTCATTCCTTCGTTAACGTCCGAACCCTTCGTTCGCCCGGATAGGAAAGAAACGTGGCAAGCTAACTCCGTAGGAAGTGAAGCCTGAGGAAAATTTGTTCCACCGAACAATGGAGAAGAGATCAAGGAGGAGGGACCCTGACCTCCATTAAAAAATTCCCCTCCCTCCCTTCCTCTCTCTCTCTCTCTCTCTCTCTCTCTCAGTCTCCCTTCCACATGAGACCTGAAAAGGGATCCAGTTTTGCTTTCCTTTTCCCTTGTGATGAGAGCGCAACGGTCGAACCGTACCAGGTATTTTTCGTTTGGGCCGTCTTTCGACCCGAGTTTCTGCAATGCGTTCAGCGCCGATGGAAGAAGAAAGAGAAAGGGGCCCTTTCTGCCCCTCCGTGTCCCTTTTCCTCTCGCTCCGTCGTTCCCATCACACTAGCTTCTTCTTGCCTGAGCGTATTGTACGCATCGGGCCCTAAGGCCTCAGTGAGGGCAGAGGGGCCCGCTGCTCCAACCTTCCCTCCACCTTTCCTCGCTATCCCTCCTCATTCCCTCGGCCCTTTCCTACCGGTACTTGGAGCGACGAGGTTCCCAGTGGGATACCCCAAAACGCCGGCCGGCAGCTGCAGAAAACCGGTGCAGCATGCTATATAATCATATTGTTGTATTGCCATCACCGCCGCCTTCATCTCCTACTACCTCGCTATCTGTTGGCTTGTCCTAGACATCGGCTGGTCCGCGTTAGATTCGTCGGAATTCTCGCCGGTCCCGATGGAAACCCGAAGGAACGTAATAAATAAACAAGTCGAAGCAACGCAAACTAATTTAATAACGAATATATCGTGCCGATAAAATCCAAAGTCCCAATTTGTGTGTCGCATCGCAAGAGACGAAGACGTTAAAATATCTGGAAGCACCATTACTGCTGGCCTAATTTGACATCCCTGGACGTGCGAAATTCTCTTTCCATTTGTAAACTGTCACAACCTCGACATACACGCAAACGTACGTCTTTTTATTCGAATTCTCTCCCTCTCTCTTTCGCTCTTTCGTCTTAGAATGTTACAAAGAATTTACCATTAAAATATTTATCGTGAATTTTGGGACATCCTGTATAATGTGTGTAACCACATATTGTGTGCATGACAATATATAAGAGAAAAACATTATTAATATAAAATACACATAGTAAGATACGTGATAAGATAATAATATGATATATAAGAGAGATCGAGTCTAGTGTACGCGTCAACTGTAGAGACAGGTTGCCCAACCGAACCGAAAGTTCGAAATAAAATACCGGAGACAGAAACGTGTCCGTGTAGGCGACAGGATACCGTCGCTCGTTTGGCCGCAGTGCTTCGGCGCAGATGCACGTCATTGAAAAGAATTACGAAGCGTAATAAAAAAGTCATACACGTAAATAAATATTTTTGTGCTCTTCAGTTTTCTGTATTGTAAAACCTACGTGTACGTGTGTATGCAATATACGTGGACAAAATATGGATTCTGAAACCTAAACACATACGTACGTGATACGTGCACCGCACAAAAAAAAGGTGTACACGGTGTGTCGAAAGGAAGCCGAACTTTTCCGATAAAAAAAACTTTTTACTTCGCCGAAAATCCAAATGCTTATTCGAAGTATATGTGTAGTTATTTGAGATGCTTGATTGGATCGCATAGACAGCAAGTACTCATCTGACGTGGACTGACAATTCTCTATCGATTACTTCTCTTCCTCCCCGCGTGGCCGCGCATACTTTTATGAAAAATGAACAAGCGGGTCGAATAGGCTCGTCTGGAATATCAGTTTTATAATATAACACGACACAGGCAATACGTGGAGTGGGCAATGTCGGTAATGGCGATTCTAAGCTGCGAAAACTAATGCGTTCTCACTCGATTAATGAAAAATACATCGATCGAATTCAGCGAGACGAGACGAGGAGTCGTCATCAGTGACGATTCCTCGACCCTGATCTGAAAAGGATAAAAATCCCCGCGGTTTTTCCAGCTGGGGTGCGGGGGGAGAAAATGATTTGCGGGCCGCGCGTTATTTGCGTCCCTCGGAGCCACCCGCGCTACGAAAACGCGGTGTCGGCCGACGCGCTGGCCTGTTGACAGAAGCAGTTTCAACCCTCCAGGTAATAAGAGGCACGAAGGGTAGAAACAATGGCCGGTGTACGCCGGCTGGCTCGCAAACGGCGGAAGCATACGGCGCGCGGCGGCAATCGGGAGCCTTCACGATCGCGAAACACGAAGATTTCGTTGAATTCTCGACTGACCGTGTTCCATTGCTCCGGCAAAGTGCCGCGTGTATCCCGCACGTAACAAAAAGTTCTATCAGAATCGCTGAAATCCCTCCCCTCGCTCTTTCTCTTTATCTCTCTAACCCGCTCTCTCCTTCTGCTGCGCGCGGAAAGATTGATTTCACGACACGAAAACTTCGCTCGAAGAATGCTCGTGAAACGCTCCTGTGCCCCGTGGAATTCCAGTCCCATGCTGAAGTGCTCCTGTTCCGTTCGTAGAACACTTGTTGAGAAGCACTGGTTATGGTATAGTATATACACAACAGAGTCTGCGGACTAGACCAGACGAAGGAGGCTGCGTAAGAAGAACGCGTTTCTCAAACGCCCTAAGCTCCGAGGCCGTGTCTTTTAGGTATTTCCATGGAGTAAACGCGAGCTTGTCGATTTTACAGCATGTGGCGCGCAGCATTGCCGAGCGCGGCTGCAATACACGAGGGGGCATGTCCTTTCGGCCAAAGCCGCAGAGAGAGAGAGAGAGAGAGAGGCCAGACTTTCGAAAAACTCCAAGGAGACACGTGGCTCTCGTGAGCGTCTTGAAGAAAGACGCTCTTACGAGCATACGTGGGTTAATTTGAACGGCGCAGAGGAGCGTTAACCCGGGATGGTACACCTGCGGTTTTTTTTTTCTTTTTCACCGCATCATTAACGGGAATCCTCGCTTTTCCTTTTGCAGAAGCGCGAAGTTATTCTAAAC